AGGGCCGGGCGCTGTGAGCTCAGGCCGCGGAGTAGCCGCGGGCGGGCGGGAGGCGGGGCCGGGGCGGGGCCCAGCCCTGCGAGGAGGGGAGGGGAGGGGAGGAGAGGGGCCAGGCCGCAGCCTGGGGCGGGGCTGGAGCGGCAGGGGGTGCCTAGTCCAGTCTTTTAGACTAGTGTCCATTGCCAACTGTCTGCTCCTAACCGTCCCCTATTTCTGCCTAGTAAGACCTTAAGGGAAAAGATAAAAGATTTCTGGCTCTTATTTACTGCTGTATCTGCAGAGACTAGATCACTGCCTGGGATTTAGAAGCCGCTCAATAAGAGTGTGATCAATGAATGAAAGAATGGACAAAAGATCGAATGAGTTTTCTCCTGGGTACCCTAGAAGCTACATACACTTCTCTGATCATAATTCTCCATTCAATGAAACTATGACGGGTCAGCAGCTGTTACAGAGGTTAAGGTGTTTGTGTCCCAACTGAGCTGTTCAAGTCACAGCCCTGGTGCTTGAAACACATGCTGGGCACGTGTTCATGTGTGCCCAACATCCACAGAGAAGAATGGAGATGAAGGGGTGCCTCATGGCCATCTCCTCTGGGGTGTGATTTCTCACTTTCCTTCTCTTTCTCTCTGTTTCTGTCTGGCAAGTGCAGGTCCCCTATAGCAAACTGAAACCAAAACAACTGAAATAAAAATATCGAACATTGACTTGTAAAACCTCGGCATAGTTCTGGCCCAAGTATGCCGTTACAAATGATGTAAATACCAAACACCTGCTTCTCCATCATATCTGCTCCATACTCGACCTTCACTCACCGAATGTTTAACATGCTTCGAGTAAGTGGAAGAAAAGACAGATAATCCACCATTTATTTTAACTTATTTTTTTACCCATCAACTTCCAAAGCAAAACATGGGATTTTCATAAAATGTACTTATATTCTAAACACTTAAATGACTAAAGTAGGGTCAGCCCTGTGACTTGGGGGTTAAGGGAGCTGGATCTAAATGACTAACTATGTGGTTCAAATCCTGGACCTTGTGGCTTGAAAAGCATGCCAGGTGCATGCACACCCTCGGGCAAATTAACACAAGCAAATAAAAACCACTAAATTGGAAATATTAAAATCTTTTTGATAGAGAAAGAAAAACATACATCAATCACTTACATCATTTGTATTCAGAATTTAATCTCTCTTTCAGTTTTCTGGCCTCTGAGGAAAGGGACGAGGGGATGTTTCATACTTTTTACAGGTGAAAAAGAAACATTTTTACCCACGAAGTCAACTAGCATTTGCTTATCTTCCTTTGTAGAGTAGGCATTACGAGGTGATCATAAAGAGAAGGTCACAATTCTCTCATGCCATGCTTGGCAAAATTACCATCAGCTCCTTTTGGTCTGAAAGGAAATCATTTGAGATCATGTTCCTTACAAAAGGCATTCCACATCAAAAATACTTTCAGTCAAATTTTAGAGAAGTTGCAGAATTAGGCTCTGAAAGTGGGAAAAGCCAATACAAACTCCACATACTGCAAATACTCTTTGGAATGAACAGGTATATTAAAAATGGAAATATACGGACTAGCAATTGGTGTAATGGCTGTGTCACTGGACTCCCATGTAGTCAATTGCAGTTCAAGTCCTGGACCCAGTGGCTTAAACTCACTCCGGGTACATGTGTGTGTGTCCAAGATCTTGAGAGGAGAATGAAGAGAAGGGATTGTGGTGTGGTCATTCCACCCCCCCCCAGGGTGATTTCTCGCTGTCTCTCAGTTTCTCTCTGTCTTTCTGGCTAGCGCACACATCCTATAGCAAAAATCTCTCCAAAAAGCAAATATATATATATATATATATATATATATATATACAAATATAGTCAGCCCTCCACATCCTTGAGTTCTATATTTGCAGTTTCAATCAACCATGGATCAAAAATAATTGAAAAAACAAAGAAGCAATAATGCAACACAAACAATACAGGCAAGTTACAATGGCACAGAAGGAACACAATGCTCCATGATGCGGAAGCCACGTGGGAAGGCCCCAGGTGTCCCGAGGTTCCTTGTACACACCAGCATACACATGTGTGTCTGTGATCTTGGTGGCCAAGGCTGGGGATGGACTGTGGTGTGAAGACCCTTTACTTGCTTTCTCTCTGTCTTTCTGTCTCTCTTTCAAATGGAAACAATGGATAAATACACTTTAAAATACAATTAAAATATAATATAACAACTATTTAAATAGAATTTACATTGTATTGGGTGTTACCAGTAACCTAGAGGATGACTTAAAGTATACTGGAGAGGGGCCGGCAGGTGGCGTGGTGGTTAAGGGTGCTGAACTTCCATATGGCTCACCTTGATTCCAGCCAGGGACCTGGCAGCTTGCTTTCTGACTTTCCCTCTCTTTCTCTCTCTGTCCTTCTCTGGTCAAATTTAAAATAAGTAAACAAACAAAGAAAGAAAGCTAAAAAATAAAACAAAATAAAGCATACTGGAGATTAAGCAGAGGTTATGTGCGGATACTACTTCATTTTATATCAGAGACTTGAAGAATCACGGATTTTGGCATCTGTGTGTGTGTGTGTGTGTGTGTTTTGGGGGGTCTTGTAACCAATTTCCCTCAAAGACCAGAGGATGACTACATATTAAAATATTAACTATGGTTAATTACATATTGAGTGACAATAAGTGATTTTTCTTTTTTTCTTTAAACATTCTACAGTAAATATTTTTGCTTATAAAATCAAGAATGATTTTTAAAGTTTATTTATTTTTAGCTTCCATGAGTGAGAGAGACAGAGAGAGAGAGAGACAGAGAGAGAGAGAGAGAGAGACAGCATCCACAGCAGAGTCCTGACTGCCATCCACCCTCAACTCCAACCAGCCTGGGCCATGGGTACACATGTGCCTTGTCTACCCAGGGAGGTCTCTGGATATGAACTGATAACCTTCCCATGTAGGTATCTTTACAGAGCTATCTCCCTCCCCTACTTCCAGGGGGATGATTTCTCACTTCTTCTCTCTCTGTTTCTCTCCAGTAAGCATATGCACGCCATGGCAGAAACCTAAATAAATACATTCGATACCCCCTGTAAAAAGCCCACATTAAATATAGAAACACAAACTGGTTAAATGTAGAGATGAGGAATATATGACTTACTAATATTAGTCAAAAGAAAGCTACATTAATTTCAGAATCGCAGATTTCGGGACAAAAGTGTTATTAGGGATGAATAGGGAATTATATGAGGATAAGAGAGTAGATTTTCCAAAACAAGCAGAACAATTCTTTTTTTTCTCTTTCCTTTTTTTTGGAGAGGTTTTTGCTATACCGTGCTTGCGTTCGCCAGACAGACAGAGAGAGACAGAGAGATAGAAAGCGAGAAATCACCCCCCTGGGGGGATGGCCACGCTGCAATCCCTTCTCCATTCTCCTCTCTGGATCTTGGGCATGCATGTACATGCACCCAGCATGAGTTTAAGCCACTGGGTCCGGAACACAAACCGTGGTCGACTACGTGGGAGTCCAGCGACATAGCCATTAACTAACTGCTGGTCCCAAGCAGAACAATTCTTAATGTGTATGGATGGAGACCCAAGTTCTGTTTTGTCGTGTTAAATTTGAGAACATTTTGATGTTCTGATGGAGAGAGTCAAGAAGATGGTAAGAAAATTCTCTGCTTGCAGGCGGGGCAGAACTAGGTGGGCAGCCGTGCCATAGACGCTCATCCCAGGTGACAATACCTGAACAGGTCAGGGGGATCCACGGAGCAAGTCGGCATGTGTGTTGGCAAAGGGAGCATCCCATGAGAGTGGCTGGGCACAGGGTGTCAGAGCATGAGGAGGTCCAGCAACATGAGGGTGGTATCCACATGTATAGAATGGGGTGAGCTCAGGGTAGGGCACAGAGACTGAGAGAAATGAGGAGGAAATTCTCATGGGGAGAGCCTGGAGTAGGGTCTTGGGGACCAGATGGGTTGAGGAGAGTATTACATAAAGGAGGATTCATCAAAATATAAATCTATCAGAGGTAACGGGAGCTAGAGTTTAAATTGTTCAAGGCACAAGTTACAAGTATTGAAATGAGAAACTGGAATAATTCCTGTGGTGTGAGGTTGAAATTGGAGGTGTTGATGTGAACTCGTGATTTCTGTGGATGAAAGGTTGGATAGATAGAGAAATCGAAATATATATTAATAGAATAAATGCAGACACAAATATGTGTGTGTGTGTTTCCTTCTAATTTTGCCCTCTGAGATATAAGTTTCTATGCTATATGATAATCCATTTATGTTGTCTAAGCCACTAAGATTATGACCATTTTTTACAGCAACAATAGGAAACGAATAAGCAGAGAGAGTTGCAGGGGGCGGTGGGGGGCACTGGAAGTGAGAAAGGAAAGAAAGTAGCCTTGACGTTTTGTTTTGTAAGTGAGCTGAGAAACAGCGTGGGAAGAAAGCGAGCTATGTGGGGAAAAGGCGTGCACTTTATTAATTTTTTAATTAATAGACTTTCTGTTTTAGAGCAGGGTTAGGCTTACAGAAAAATTAACTAGAAAGTACAGAGTGTTCCTGTATACCTGCGCATGACACCTCCCGCCCCTCACTCTACCTTTCTGCTTTCCCTATTAACACCTTGCATTGGTGTGGTACATTTGTTACCACTGCTGAAGGAATATTGATGCACGGTATTAGCTCAAATTCGTAGTTTACATCGGGGTTCACTCTTCGTGTTGTACATTCTGTGGGTTTTCATCTCTCTTTCCTGCCAACCACTGATTCCCCCCTTCCCCCCCCCACCCCAGGATGCATGTGCTTGCTGGAGTGAGACAGAGAGAGGGAAAGTGAGAAATCACCGCTGGGAGATGGCCACGTCTCAACCCCTTCTCTTCCATTTTCCTCTCAGGATTTTGGGCAGGCATGCATATGTGCCAGGTATGATTTTTCAAGCTGTATGGTTGGGG